GACAGCTAAAGTTAACTAGGAGACTAGGTAAGCATTCAATGCAGCCATCTTATTTTAATATTGAGACAAGATCTCACTAAGTTGCCTAGTTGCTGGTCTTGAACTCACTCTGTAGTCTAGTCAGTCCTTGAACTTGTGATCCTCTGGCCTCAGCCTCTTTAATAGCTGGGGTTACGGATTTGTAACACCAGCTCTAGCCTGTAAAGCTTTTTGGTTTGACAAAAGAGTCCTGAATACAAATTCCCACAGCACTAACGTGTGATTGACATTCAGTGAAATTCACCCATTTTGAGAACAGTCTTGAGTTTTGACAAATCTGTACACCCACATAACCAGCCTCCAGATTTCTCCTCTCTTCTCTGTGTTTTTTCTTTCTCCTCCTCCTTCAGCAGAATCTCACTGTATAGCCCAGACTCATCATCTTCTAAGTGTCTGACTCCTAAGAGCTGGAATTACAGGTGTGCCCAGATATTTTTTTAAATTGTGGTAAGATACACTTTACATAAATGCTCTCTACTTACTGCTCTTTAAGAGTACAGTCTCATAGCATTAAACACATTTCTTTTTAAAAAATATTTCCTGGTGCACGCCTTTAATCCCAGCACTGGGGAGGCAGAGGCAGGTGGATCTCTGTGAGTTCAAGGCCAGCCTGGTCTACATAGTAAGTTCCAGGACAGCTGGGGCTACAGGGAGACCTTGTCTCAAAAAGACAAAAAAAAATTCCTTATTTTTATGTGTATGAGTGTATTGCCTGTGTGTATGCCACCAGTGCACCTGTTTTGTGCAATGCCCATAAAGTCAGAAGAGAGCATCGGATTCTCCTGGAACTGGAGTTACGGACAGTTGTCAGATACCCTGTAGTGCTGAGAATTGAACCCGGCTCCTCTGCAAGAGCAGTCAGTACTCCTAACCACTGAGCCATCTCTCCAGCCCCAATTAGACACATTTCTTATGCTGTGTGGCCATTGCTGCAGCCCACTCAGAAGTTTTCATCTTGCAAAACTAAAACTCTGAGTCCAAATCCAATAACTTTCCATCCCCTGCTCCTCACAGCTGCCCCTGGAAAACACCATTCTACCTTTTGTCTTTGGGAATTTGATTTTGATTTTTTTTTTTTTTAGAATTAAAATTTACCACAGTACCCATTTTTAACTGTACAGTTTGGTGTTAAGGAGTGGCTTCTTTTTAAGGTAGTTTTGTGTTTAGCTGTGAGCTTGAAAGCCTCCAAAAAACAGTAGCTTAAACTGTTGGATGGTCCACAGTTGCCTCCATTGTCACCAAGGGCCTGGGCTCTTGCTTCCTATATGCTTGGCTATTTCTGACCTGCATCTTGGCACATCATAGTCCAAAATGACTGCTTCCTGCTGTTAACCCAGTTCTAGTGACATGAAGGTGAAAGGGAGAGAAAAGTACATTTTCTGCTTTAGAGTACAGCATAGAAATGACACATTTTCTTTTCTTTTTTCTCTTTTTTTTTTTTGTGTGTGTGTGTGTGTGTATGCACGCGCGCTTATGTCCCATTGGATAGAACTTAGCTACATGGACACATCTGCTGTAAGGGAGCTGGAAATTTTCATTCTGGGCCACATTGTCAGTCCATTTCCGTTTGAGAAAGAAGAGAAGAAGGCATGTTGGAGAAGCCTACATGGTGTTGGCCACAGCTTCCTTACCTCGCAGCTCATAGCCGACTGAAAGCAATTCTTTGCTTCTTACTGGCTTGGGGACCCCTTCAGCCAGGAGCTGGGTCTTTCACTCTTAGTACAGACCAAGATGCATGCCGGTGCTTAATGTGTGTTGTACAAATAAAGGATTCCATCCCAGCCACTGCATGGTAGAATTACTGAAGAGGGATCCTGAAGAGTCTGATCATTAGAGTTATCTACTTTAAGTGTCCACATTCTCCAACCACTCTTCAGAATTCAGGAACTGTATTATTGTAAGCCTGATGATTGGGTGGCCTCCTTCTGGCCACACCTAGCACCAAGCATGCTCCACCTCTACTGCTGGCATCAAGGCCCTTCCTGGGCTTGGAGCCACACTTGGCCTCTATAGATCTCTGTCGTTGGGCTTATGCTGCCTTCCCAGCAGGTCCATGCCCACCTCTGCGGCCCCAGATCTTCCCTTTGCCAAAGAGATATACCGTCCCTCAAGGGGTCAGGGGAGATGCTAGGCCACATAGTCTCCTGAGGTCAAGAGCCCTAGATGAGGAAAAGCTGTTCCACCTTTGTTCTGAGTCTGCTTGGGTTAAGCAGAAAAGAGCTGGAGACTCTCCAAGGCAGGAGTCAGAGGGAATCCAGCCCCAGTGTGCTGTCACCAATACAGGGGGAAATGATTTAGCTTGGAATTGGTTTCTTTTACCTGGAAAGACAAACATGCCCTCCCTAGCACAAACCCTGCAAGTTCAGGCAAGAGTTGGACCTTATGCAAGGAGGCAGGAGGATACATGTTGAAGGTCCCCCAAGGTGAGGCTGTGATTTCTTGTGGGTTTGTCAAAGTCCCCATGTAATCCCCTTGGCCTTCCCAAGAGATTCATGGATGTCAGAGAGACTACTTCAATGATGCCTTGTGCTGTCTGTCTCTGTGACTAACTCATTCAAAAGCAGGATATGGAGAGGGGCATTTGTTTTTAAACATTTGTAACAAACTTAAAAAATTTTTTAAGTCTATGAGTGTATTGCCTGCATGTGTATAAAGTGCACCTGTGTTGTGCAATGCCCACAGAGGTCAGAAGGGAGTGTTTGATCCCCTGGAACTGGAGTCAAAGACAGTTGTTAGCTGCCTTGTGGGTACTGGGAATCAAACCTGGATCCTCTGCAAGAGCAGTCAGTGCTCTTAACCTCTGAGCCATCTCTCTAGCCCCTCTTTTCTTTCCTTCTTTCCTTCCTTCCTTCCTTCCTTCCTTCCTTTCCTTCCTTTCCTTCCTTTCTTTCCTTTTTTGAGATAGGGTCTCACTATGTAGCCCTGGATGGCCTGGATGGATCATGATAGACTTGTTCTAGTTCACCTGCTGCTTCTGCCTTCTGAGTGCTTGGGACTTAAAGGCATTGCATTACCACACCCCACCCATTTTTAATAAACTTCAATTTTATTTATTTATTATTTAATTTTTTGTTCTTTTGAGACAGGGTCTCCCTGTAGTAACAGCTGGCCTTGACTCTCTATGAAGACCAGGCTGGCCTCAAACTCACAAAGATCCACCTGCCTTTGCCTCCCAGGTGCTGGGATTAAAGGCATGTGCCACCATGCCCGGCTCCCAATATATTTGTTTATTTAGTGTGTGTGCATACAGGCCTGTGTGTACCGTGGTGCAGGTGTGAAGATCAGAGAACAGATTTCAGGAGTTGGTCTCTCCTTCTACCATATGGGTTCCAGGGATTGAACTCAGGTTGTCAGCCATGGTGGCAAGTGCCTTTACCCACTGAGCCATCTCACTGGCCCCAGTAAAGGGGCATTTGATATTCTTGAGCAAGAGGATTCCAGGCCTTCAGGTAGGGAACCAGATAGCTGGAGGTAGAGAGAGGTTAGAGGCAGTGAGGGAGTGAGTGGGATATAAAGACAGGGGCCCTAGTCCTTTATAAATGCCCAAACAACTACAGATGTCCTACAGCCTCTATAAGACCAGCTCTTCTGACTTGACCAGAGGGACTGATGGCTGACCTGGCTGCTGAAAGCCTTTAACCTCCCTGTCCATGTTTTGGTCTTCCTGGGTTGGTTTAGGTTACAAGACCTGATGGCTATTTCTCCAGTCTCCTTCTCTGCCCTCCTGCTCCCTGTGGTCCTCTGTGGCTTCTTAGGCTGCCCTTATCCACTCCAGGCCTTGGAGTCTGCTACTCTGAGATAGTTGCAGAGAGCAAACTCATCTCCCCAACATCAGAGTATGGCTGCAAAGCTCTCCAGGAAAACAGTGCCCGGTGTGACAAAAGCCACACACAGGTGCCAGGGTCTCACACTGGACTCTCATCTGAGGTTTACCACCTGGCTTCCCAATTCCATCCAGAAAGAACTTTGGACTTGGCCTCTAAATGATTCAAAGGTGGGGATGTTTTAAACATGCCTGATGTATGCTAAGGTGCTTCTTACCCGGACTCCCCTCCTTGGCATGACACTTGCAGCTTCAAGGAAGAGCTGAGCAAGGAACCTGGGTCTTGAGGGTGTCCCTTCCCTGGATAGCTTGAGGCTGGCAGTACCTGCCTTATGGTGGCTTCTCCTGACCTGTTCTGGCATGATCAACAAGGGGAGCCAAGGTGGCAGGAGGCAAGCAAGTGGCATTAATTTAGACCAGGACCTCAAGAAAAATCTTCAGAAAATTATTCTCTCCAGTGCTAAATACTAAGTGACTCAGCATCCTCCCTCACATTGCCTGGCAAAGTAGGGTGGGCTGACTCAGTCTGTCTTGTCAGTTCACAGTGACCAGAACCCATTATGACCCTGTGGTTCCCATCCAGTCTCAAACTCAAGAGGGCACCTGGTGTCCATTCACACTTCACTCATTACTTTTGAGGAGAGAACCAGGGATGGGACCCCATGTTCCCTTTCTATTCCAGAAGGGACAGAATCCACTCCCAGCCCTTTCTTCCATGATTGCTTTTATATGAAAGCCAGCCGCCTACCCCTCACATTGCTCCTGTTTCCGAACTCCAGTGTGCACCCTCTCAACAGTAGATGGGGCTTAGGGTACATTTCTGAAGAAATGGGAAAAAAAGGTAGGCTGCACACCTGAAGTGCCAGAGACGTTGACTTCAGCCCTTATGTTGGCAGGTGAACCCATGACTGCATCCCGATGAGTCAGCAGAGGGAACAGACATTGATCTGGGCAAACGTGTCATGTTAGAGTCACTCTGTCATGCAATGGCATGTCCCTGTGGGAGGGGGCTGCAGAAAGTGAGAGGGAGAAGACAAGGGTACTCCAGTGTCTCTTTAGATCTCCTGCCCACAGGGCACCTAGCCAAGCCAACCAAGTTGGGGACAGTGGAGGAGTGAAGCAGAGATGGACGCCCGGGCAGACTCCAGAGACTTGGTTTTATTGTGCATTTCTTTTTCCTCAGTGAAATGCTATAAGCTGTGGACAGGACTGTACGTGGTGACAGGACAGGCAGAGCTGCTTGGCGAGGTGAGTGTTAAGATAAGCAATCTTCCAAGGAGTGTGCACCCCAGGTCTCACTCCATGATCTGTCTCCAGCCCCACAAAGTCTCAGAGGAGGCAGAGTGCAAGGTTCTGATTGTCTGGGGCTCAAGGATAGCCAGAAGGGCTGGCACCAAGGGGCAAAGGAAAGAATGAAGAATCTCCCTTAGCAAGCTGAGTCAGTCTGGGTGGCTCCAGGACTCCTTTCCTATACTGACTTAGGGCCTAGTCAGAGTTCTAGAAGTTCTTGGGAGCTTGGGATAGCTGGAGAGGGGGCTGGACCTCCTTTGCCACCCTTTTAGCTACTGGCTGTAGCAGTAAGGGACAGCAGGCTCATGTTTTAGGTGAGTGGGGATGGCCCCTTACCTCCTACTCCCTTTTCCAACATTCCCAGGCTGAACCTGCATTTCACTGAGTGTGCCCTGGCTAGGAGCCCCAGTGGTAGGAAAGGGCTTTTACGTGGTGGCTGAGAATGCTCTTGTAGAATCTCAGTTCTCAACCTCATTGGAAGGGGAACACATGCTCAGCAGTGCTCTGATATCTATGATCTTGAGGCACCCTCCCTGCCTGCTGGACAGTAGTTTCAGCAAGCGTATGACTGCACTAGCCCAGACACCCCAACTCCTTCATCTAGGTCTTTTTCAGACCTCTTGCCTGGTTGACAAGAATGGCCCCTCAAGGATTAGTATCCCATCACCCCACTACCCATCCTATGCCCTTACTCTCCATCAGATCTCCAATCCTGGCTTCCTTTGTTGCAAACTCCAAGAGAAAAGGAAGGGCAAATGCTAAATAAATAGACAGAAGCAGCCCTGGAACAGAGTACAAAAAGACAGCCAGGGGGATGCAGAGAGGTGAAGTGGCAGGGAGGGGTAGGTGACAGCATGCAGCACTGAGATTTCCTTATGAGGGACAGACTCCCTGTTTCTCCCCAAGGCATTCGAGGGATTAGGGGGAGGGAGTCAGCTAACTCAGAGAAGCAGGATCTTTGTACTGGGCCTTCAGGCTTCCTGTTTCTCCATGGACCCAACCAGTCACAGAGAAATGAAATCCGTGGCTTGGAGGAGGGAGAGAGAGAGGAGGAGCAGCAGCAGCCACGAGGTATTCTGAGCCAGTAGGTTTATGCCTTCACACTTGACCAACTTGTCTGTGGAGAGAGAAGGAGGCAGAGAGAGGAGAGGGACCAGGACTTAGATAGGCCATTAAGAGGCTGGCGCCATCAAATCTTAGCTGCCTCAACCTTATGGTATGACAGAACCAGTGATCTTTCCCAATTGCAGATTCCTCAGCTCTTGTAGATGTAGCTTCTTCAAATGTTACCATATATCATCACAAGAAAACTTTGGCGGGGGGGGAGGTAGTGCTGGGGAAAAGGATTGGGGAGGCCATGTGACTTGGCTATAGCTGAGGGGGAAGTTTCTATGACAAAGATCTTCGGGTCTGGCCCCTGCTCTTTCCACACTGATATGGAGAGCAGTGGTTCCTCAGAGGACCAGGCAGCAGTTAGGAGAGCATGAAAAGGCTAGAGGGCCCCTCTCCCTTCTAGCTCAGCTAATGGAACTGCTGGTTGTGGCCATAGGCAGATTGGTTAACTCTACTCTGGCTAGCCTGAGTATTTCATCTTGCTTGGGGACTTGTCTCACCTCTAAGCACAGAAACATTTTGATTGGAGACCCCGGGAGTTTGACCAGAGACTCGAAGCTCACACGTGTAGATGCCTTCATCTTTGGTGGTGAAGTTGGCCAAGGTGAGGACCTTTATGTGGGGCTTGCTGGAGAAGTTGATCCGGGAGCGGTATGTGTGTTCCGGCACTCCAAGGGTGCCAGAAAGCACATGCTTCTTTTTCTCTCGGGTCAGACTGAACTCATGCTGGATGGGCAAGTTGGTGTTGTTCTCATGACGGCAGTCCAGACGAAGGCTCTGGTCTACCATGCAGGCTGTCAGGCTGGTCACCTTCTGTCCTTGGGACACCTGCAAGACTGGCACCAGCAGTATGTTCTTTGAATTGGGGAAGAGATGCAGAGCAGGGGCCGCCCACCCAAAGGAAGAATAGACATGGGCCTGGCCAGGAAGGGCAGAGGGTCTGCTCCCATTCCCTTGCCGACCCCAGATTCCATCTCTAGTCTGCTTAAGCTGTGGGCCCATCGGTGTGTGTCAAGGATAGGAGATCAAGGGGAGTTCTTAATTCCTGTGTGGAGTTTCCAGTTTCCCAAAGACCACCGCATACAGGCAGATAGCGAGATTGAGCCCTCTGAGGCTATGACAAAGAGGCTACTCCCTGAAGAGAAGGAAGCCAGATGCCTGAAATGCATGCCCTGCCCCTTGCCCAGTACCTGCTATCAGGAGAGTGATGCTGATGGTTGGGTTCATGGTGCCAAGAACTCCGTCCTGGATTCTGGGGTGGAGACAACTGGGAATCAACCAAGAGATAGGTGTGTTCACATTTACTCCCAGGGATGGGGGCCCGTAGGAAACATGGTTAATGCCTAAGCCCCTCCCTTTGTCTCCTCTCCTCCCCAATTCTCTTTGAAGGTGACACTGCCACTAACTCTTTGCCACTGAGAAAAAGCAAAGGATGAGAAGGAACATGCTCTGGGATGGTATGTGTCTGTCCTGGCCATGGGGCACTTCCCTGCTATGTGACTTTATCTTTACCATTTTTCTCAGGGATTTATGACCTAAGATTGCCTAGATCTAAAACAATTTTTTTTGAGACAGCATCTCCCCTATGTAGACCAGGCTGGGCTTGAACTCACAGAGAGCCTCTCTCCTCTGCCCCCTGAGAGCTGGTCAAAAGCTATTTACGAATGAATGAGGCGCTCTGAATCATAGATGTGAATAGGGTTGTTGGGGCTTAAGAAAAATGGCAAAAGTCTTCTATACTGTGCTCCATTGTAAGTGATCTAGAAAGATTAGTAGCTAGGGATGAGGTCAGGTGTGCGTCTAGCTGAGGTGCTGTCATATAGGTCTGTATCTGACACGGGATGAGAAGCCACAGTGCTTTTGCATGTAAGCTAAAAATGCTTGCAAATGGCCAGCTCTGAGGTAGGGGGGCTCCTGAGGCTGCAGTTTTCTGGTCCAGCTTTCAGACCTGCCCTAGGTAGGTTTTCTGCCTTCCTCCAGTGCCCCCAGCTGAAATGCAAACAATATGTTGCGGACAGAGAGCAGGTAGCCTAGCCTGTCCTAGCCCAGGAGAGGCACGAGTCTGTTACAACGCCCGGGCTCCGCCTTGGCTGCAAACTCTGGGTGCTCAGGGTGCGCCACCAGCCAACATCCATGGCGGATATGACTAGAGTCCCTGGAAACGGCCACTACAGTGAATATTCTGCCTACTGGGGTGGAGCTGCCACCCTGAGCAGGATCCTGAGGCGCTGTTGTGGAGAAAAGGGGCTATTTGTTTTTTTGAGACAAGGTCTCCTTAAGTGGCTCTGGTTAGCCTGGAACTCGGGATCCTCCTGCCTCCACCTCCCGAGAGCTGGGAGTGCTGGGATTACAAGCATGCACCACCATGCAACGCTGTCATAGGGCTTTGATCCGAGGACATTCAGTAATGGAGGAAGGGATGCGGAATTGGGGTCTAGGAGAATGGGGAGCACTAAAGGGAAGAAATGGGGCTGGAGGATCCCTGTAGAACAACTAGATGAAGGTGTTGAGCGAGGTAGCAGAGAGAGAGAGGTGCAGTCTTATTTCCTCGGTCCCAGCTCAAGCAGTCCAGACTCAGCCAGGCTGCCCCCCTCGCCAGTCCCGTCCGCCTGGCCCCACCTTGATACCATTTCCGTATTTCAACCCTCCTTCACCAACTGAGGTTCCCCTTCTCCCCCTCGCGTTCTTTCCAATGCCCCTCCCTCCACCCGCCCGCCTTCCACCCAGTCTCCTCCTGCAGCACTGCGGTCTTACCTGCGGTGCCCCACACCCAGCCAGCCGCGAGGTCACCCGGCCGAGACTCCCCGGCTTGCCACCGTCCCTCTCTCCCTCTATTTGCGCCCCCCTCTCCATTCCTGTGATCTGGGCTTGGGGACGTCTGGGTGGAGAACAGAGCCAAACGCTGTCCTAGGTGTCCTTCCTCCCGGTTCTTCTCCAAGGCCCAGTCTCAAAGCAGGCGATTCCTGCGCAGCGTCCCACTCCCGCCCTGGCTTGGGATGCCGGTCCCTCCTCCAGCTTCTGCGCCCCCATCGCTGAACGCCCCTCAGATCATTTCCCCAAGTCGCCTCTGGAGGGCATGTACCAGCGCCTCTGCGGCTGTCCCTGCGCCCGGGTCCCTGCCGCCTCTCACCTGGACTTTGGTGCTCTGTAGCTGCAGCCTCCTCCTGATGCACCACCGCCACCTCCAGTTGCTGCACCCTGCTCGCAGCCCGCAGTTTTCACCAGGGGTGGGGAAGAGGGGGAGCGGGAGTGCCTCGGGGTTCAGCCAATCAGAGGCTGAGGTGGAAAGAATGGAGGGGGTGGCGGGGTAGGGCGGGCCGGAGGCGCTGTGTCTGGGTATGGGAAGGTGGCCTACTGCCACTGAAGGGGGACCCTCAGCTCTATGGCTAGTTGGTCTGGCCAGGGACAAAACGGTTTGGGGAGCTGGCATCAGGGTGGAGCAGCCCAAAGAACATCAGCTTCCTCCCCAGGCTCCCCACTACCTCCCGCACTGTTTGCTCTCCTTTTAAGGCTGTAACCCTTTCTCTGATAGAATCTTCAGAGGTCTCAACAAGCCAAGGGTAAGGAGACTGGGGGGAGGCCAGCTCTAGGCTGGAGCCTTGCTTTTCCAGAGCCTCTAGTGACAGCTTTGACTTTGGAACCTTGTCTTTCTCCAAGGGAAGTTAGTTGGATGTTTTTTCTTTTTTTCAATATTTTATTTATTTATTTATTTATTTATTTATTTATTTATTTATTTATTTATTTTTAATTTTATGTGTATGAGTGTTTTGCCTGCATGTAAGCGAGTGCAGCCATGTCGTGCAATGCCCGGAGGTCAGAAGAAGGTTTCGGATTACCCTGGAACTAGAGTTAGGATGGTTCGTAGTGGCCATGTGGGTGCTGGGAATTGAACCCGGG